AGAAGCCTGCAGGTCAAGCTCCTTTTGCATCGCTGCTGCCTGGGAGCCCTGGAAGCCCCCGACTGCCCCTCTGCCCCGTCTCGCTCCCTGCGGTAGCTGAGCCGGTGGGATCATGGAGCTCAGGACCGTGGTGGCCACGGTGGAAAGTGGGGAGCAGGACACGATCCTCAAGGTGCTGCAGATCTACAACCAGGAGGTGAGTGAGCGCCTGACCTCTGCTGCATCCTGCGGTTCTGAGCCCGGGCGCAGGCTGGGGGGTTCCTGTGCCCCCCACCTCTCCTCAGTCTGTCCCCGCCGAGCGCATCCGTGTGCGTGTCGCTGCTGTGAAGATGTTACAGGCTGCCTTGTGCTTTCCTTGCAGATGGTGTGTTGCTTGAGATTTTTGCTAGGAAGCAGGTTAACAGCCTCTTTGTCTCCGTTCCTTTGTAAGCTGGAGGTAAAGCACGCAGAAGGGATTTATTTATTTTTTTAGTTATAACTGTTGTTCAGATCACAAGTAAAACCTGGCAGGGCAATAAGCAGCGTGAAGACCAAGGAGGAGGAGCTTTTATGTTAAGGCAAGGTTTGGAGGTGACAAAGCTGAGGGCTGGGGAGGAGCTGCAGGTGAAACACTCGCTACGATTTGCAAGTAAAAGATGATTCAGGGTGGACCAGGATGGGCTGCTGGGATTTGCTATGGCTGCTTCGTCTGCAAGCTGGCAGTAAGAAGTAAATAGAGAATATCAGAAAAAGAACGGTTGGGAAGCAGAGGTGGGAGCGTTTCTAGCCTTAAAGTGGCGAAAGATTATCCCTTTTGAAATAGACTCTAGTTGTCAGGGAAATTTCCTCCACAGGGTTTCCACCAGGGTAGGGCTGGCCCTGCAGATCAATGTGACTCACTCTGCACCATTCCTAAGGAGGTGGGAAGCCAGCGGGGAAAACCTGTGGATATTTTTGCACGAGTGTGCAAGAGGGAGAGCGGGCAACTCTTCTCAGCCGGTGGTTTCGAAACGCGGGAGGTATTAGTGCAGAAGGAGAGTGTCCCAGCTCAAGACAGTCTGCGGGGTTGGCGTTGCCATCAGCAGGTGTAACGCTGAGAGGAGCCGGGAGCGCAAACAGGGGTCGGTGTTTAACCAGCTCGGCATCAAACCACATTTCCTGTCATGTTCCTCTGGCTGGATCCCTTGTCGCTGTATCAAGCGTAGGAAACTTGTGAGAATGTCAGTGGTTTCGCTAGCCCGTCTGGAAGAAGTAGAGCAATCCAAGAGGACTACAAAACTGCAGATAAACTCAGCAGCTTCCTCGCATCGTATTTTACTATAAAAATTGTTGGTACCATGTTCTTTTCTCTGGAGATATACTTCAATTCGCTATTGCATACGCAGTCAGTTTGTGATTGCCGGAAATTAGCTGCGGCTGAAGCAAAACCACAGCTACAGCGAAAATATAAGCAAGTGACATTACAGGAGCCTGCAAAGAGGATACAACGAGAAAAGAACAAGTGGCGTGGATATCTGCAGAGCTGCTGGTTCCTCATAAGGTGGTGTGACAGCCCGTGCAGGGGTCTGCTCTCGGTGCGTAGGTGAGTCGGGGAGCGCCGGTGACCCCCCAAAGCTCAGTCAGTCCCAGCTTTCCCGGGCAGGATGGCAGGAGAGTCGGACAGCGGGACAGCTCGTGAGGTGATGGACACAGCGCAGCTGGGCTCAGCTGTTCGCACCTGTAGGTGGGATGTCCAGGAGCTGCGATTGCTTGAGAGGAGTAAATCCAGAGTAGAAGAGGGACGGGTTGTGGTGTGGTTAGTTACTGTGGTTGGGTAAGTGTCAGCGGCGTAACTCAGTAAAAGGCAACAGTGCTGAGAAAATGTGGGGAGAATTAGGGTACAGTTCTACCTGCAGGTCTGTACGTGGATAATTAATGTTTTATAGATGTTAAACATTTTCATTCTCAAAGCCTGGGCGAGATGCTCTCTCGGTGTAACTGGTGACTGCAGCCCTCGCTGGGAAGGGCTGCTTTTCACCAGAGCGCCCGTGATCTCTGCTGCTTGGTTCGCTGGGAGCAAACGTGGCCTGACTGTCGCTCCAAGAACAGCCAGAACAGTGAGGGACACGGGAGTGTTTCCCCTGACCAAAGAGGGGGCTGGTTGTTGGAGAAAGGGATGTGGTGGAGGTGTAGAGGTCAGGTCTCTCGTGTTCAGAAACCGCGACCTGAATAACCGCCAGGGTCTATTCGCAGGTAACAAGGACACGGTACTTGTTTTGATTGGGAAAAGGAGCAGTAAAAGCCAAGGGGAGAAATGTGTAGGCACAGCTTGGAGGTGTTGTTGGGCAGAGGAATTACCAGCTATTATGGGATATTTGGATTGTGATAAATACCCACTTTGCTGCTGCGGTATTTAAAAATAAGTCTGTCTGTCAGATGGACACGGCTTTGGCCTGTGGCGTTCAGGGTAATATCCATCCTGGGTGTTTTTCGAGGATGAAACAGGGGACCTTGGTCAGGGAGAGCACGTCAGGCCCGGCGGCACGGTCCCGCTCTGCGCTTTTCTGACCAGATTGATCCCCCCAGCTGTGAAGGCCTGGGTACTGTTGGAAAGAGACGGCAGGACTGGAGCAAAAACCTCAGTGGCGGGGAAGTTTTCCTTCTGCCTGCTTCCTCAGGAGCGTGCACTGCTCGGTGCAAAGCCCACAAACACCGCAGACCTCTCTAAGCGCAGCGACGCTGCTCGCAGCACTCGTTCCCCGCTGCAGGGCAGGTGGGGACTCCTCTGGAGCAGAAGGTCTGACTTGCTTTCACAGTTTATTTTCAGAGCTGCAGCTTTCCAGCTGAATTCCCCTCCCTCGGCTGGGAGTAACTTGTGGGTTTTGGACCCATTACTTGTTCTGATTGTTTTTGTTTTGCCCCCACAGAAGTCCCAGTGCTTCACCTTTGACGATGAGGAGCGGGAAGAGAGGAAGGTAGGCACGCTCTTTGCTTTCTTCCTCTTGTCAGGTGCAAGCAGCTGCCACGGCTCCTGCAGGGAAAGAAATGAGTGGTTTTTTTCACAAATATGGTTAGGAAATGGTGTGCTCAGAGCACCTGGCTCCTGTTTTCCCCTCGGTAGTTGGTGTTTTAGGATAAAAGTCGGCATCCACCTGGCACTGAGGAGTCCCTTGGGTTCGGTGGTGTGGGGGGCTCTGCCACGGGCGCGTAACAAGCCTGATCCTTTGTGGGATGAGGCTGCTGGGCAAAGATCACGGCAACACACAAGCCTCTCGAGAGCAAGTGGCTTTGCTGTGAGCCAGCTGCGGGATTTGACCGAGGCTATGCATTAACAGATCCTTTAAGCTGGTGTAATCTGGCACGCGGTGGAAAGAAACGCTCCTGCCTGGTCATTTCTGCTCTTGCGGCTCTGCCGTGCCAGGGCAGAGCTTTGCGTGGCTGTGCAGGGTTGGTGGGCTGCTCTGCCTAAGGAATTACTTTTTTTTTTTTTTTTTCCTCCCCCTTTCCCAGCTGGATCAGATTTGTGGCCCAATTCATTGGTTGATTGTGCTAATGCCTGTGTTAGTGCAGGAGGTGTGGGCCAGGCCACTCGGCTGGAGAACAGGACTCGTTTTGTCCGTTCCCAGCTGAGGCTGGTGTGAGGTGTTCCCGGGTACAGCCTGGCATGTCCCACAAGATCTGAGCACTTTACCTTGCGCTGGGGGGGTCACACAGGCTGCAAATTCAGACACAGCCTTGGGGATCTCCACTTTTGGGGTGTCTGTCCTGAAACATGAGCCAAGCGACACCATTGAGTTCCTGGTGCTCGGTTTTCCTGAAGGACTGATTACTCCTGGGCATGTGCCCTGAATGTCTTTACCCCGAGTCCGTCGGACTCTTTGGTTACTTATGACTGTATCTTTAGCAGCTCCTGTGTCTCTCTCCTCGTCTAGGAGGAGAAGAGCAGTGACTGTACTTCCTCACTTCTCAAGGCTGTGGTTGTGGGCTGTATTTCATAACTTAAAGCTTGTTCGGTCCTGCCAGCCTCTCCTTGAGGGCTAAAATTATTTTTTTTATCTATTTCCTTCCTTCCCTCAGTCCTTTTATGAGGCATAACTGGTCAGGCTGCGTTAAGGCAACTACACCAATGTCAAACCTTCGGTCTTGGGTTCCTTCGTGCCTGCAGTGCGCGGGGGAGGACTCCTGCTCTGGTGTGGGGTGGTGTCAGAGAGATCTGGTGAGACCCCACCTCTCCGGGGGGTGCCTGTCTCTGCGGAGAGGCGTCGCTGTGCTGGGTTGCGCAAAGCATCACCGTGGCTCTCGTGCTCTTCCCTCGCTCGCTGTTGCGTACGATGCTGTTATCCACGGGGGTTAGAATTCCAGCTCTCCTGAGCTGGCGTTAGCGGAGCTCTGCCAGTCTGCGCCTGTGGAGGATCTGGGCTAGTAGGTCTCCAGACAGCACTGAGGTGTGTCTCCTGAGGTCTCTTTGCCTCCTTTCCTAGGCTGTCATGTGCTCTTCTCACCTCACTTAGGTCCTGTCACCCTCCCTTGGTGATCTGCTGACACACCTCTTGACCTTTTCAGTCTATTTCTGGAGCACCCAAAGCAGATGTCTCCCAAATCTTAAAGCTCTGGGTGGGAGAACTGCTGTCGAGCTGGTGGCTGCTTGACAGGGGGAGGAAGCCACAGGGGATGCTTGTGCCCAGCCATCTCCTTGCTCAGTGCTGGGAAGGGTGGATTTGCGAGGCGTTGCTTGTTTCCACTCGCACAGAAAATGGCCCAGCTGTTGATCCGGTTCCTGGAAAGAGAGCTGCAGCCGTCCTGCCAGGTGGCGTGCTTGGAGAGCATCCGCATCCTGTCCCGGGACAAGTTCTGCCTTGACCCCTTCACCACCAAAGAAGGCTTGAAGACCCTCTCCAGGCACGCTGGCATCGATTACTCGGAGGAGCTCATCCGGGAGGTCCCAGACTTGGATGTCATCCTGGAATCCCTCAAATGTCTCTGCAACATTGTCTTCAGCAGCCCCAGGGCGCAGGAACTGACGGCCGAAGCCCGGCTGGTGGTGGGCCTGGCCAAGCGCATCAAGCTGTACAACGAGAGGAGCCTTCCCCACGAGGTCAAGTTCTTTGACTTGCGCCTGCTGTTCCTTTTTTTCGCTCAGGGTGGACATCCGTCAGCAGCTGGCCCAGGAGCTCAGGGGCATCAGCCTGATGACGGATACCCTGGAGCTGACCCTCGGGGTGAAGTGGTTGGACCCCTACGAAGTCGCCACCGAGGAGGGACTTCTCCCACCTTTGCCTCGGCAGGAGACGGAGCGAGCTATGGAGATCCTGAAAGTGCTCTTCAACATCACCTTTGACTCCAGCAAGAGGGAGGTGGACGAGGTGAGCTCCCACCCCACTGCCCTCGCGTGTCTCCAGGCTGCGGTTTTGGGGCTGGGTTACTCCT